TGTCAGTTGTACTGATCACACGATGCAGTGCTCCTACCAAGAATGCTTTACGATTTCGTATTTCATAAATAGTGTGTGAGCAACACTGAAATTCCAGACAAAATATACCAGAAATTTGAATGTAACATTCTTTTTGACACTCAGCAAAGATGAGGGCCCGTTCCATTAGCCGCTTGATACTTTACATTATATGAACATGAGAACTACGCTGTCGACACGAACAACTTTATTTTACGTTAAAGCATAGAAAATACGGACGCAACGAATATCACTCTAGCTCTCACGTCAGCAATAGACTGGCCTTTTATATATGTTCTTATAATGCCAGAACGAAAGCGTGCAGAGCAAGTGCATTTCACATGTTGTGTTTTGTGATGCCGGAACAGTGCCATCGATCAACTGCATGATTTGAAAGTTGGAAATTGTGACGGTTGACCTGACCGATGCTACCCATGATCCGGAAAGACTCTGAGGATCTGTCGTAGATGAGTCAAGCTTTCCATCACCGGGAAATTTCATGCTGGTAAGTTTGTTGATCGAATGGCGCTATCCATTAGCCGGGCGATAGTGGCTTTCTGATATGGCGGAATAGAACTAATAGCATGTGACATGTTCAACACTGAAATGTCGTTAATTATGTGCGGCAAAAAAGTGGAGTAGAGTGCAAATGACAATTTGTCTCTGCCATGATGCAGTGCGGCCGCGAGTCTTGTAAAAATATCGATCATGTCCATTCATTTCCGGCACTATGCTAGAATGTTAGTGTTACCACGTTAATAAGCCATAGTTATTACAAGCCATACGCAACCACGGTAATATATTACTGTAAATTTGCATATAGTAGTCAACGGAGCAGTTGATATTAAACTAATACGATCTATATCGATGCGCTGAAAAGGCATACACGGAGCGACTTATGACGAAGAGAATGTTCTACAAGCCAACGCAAGTCTCATTAGTGGAATTATATTCACACATAATCACGAACTAGACGTTAAGACAGAAACGCGATGGCGCAACCAACAACTGTGTTTAATTGACAAGTGGTTAGAAATTTATTTTCCTCAAGACTGCAAAACGGATCACAAATGCACATTGCGGTGATGTTTACTTTAACCGAATCGAATGAACACATGCTGACCATAACTGGTGTAAGACAGCAAAACAATCGGCATATGGGATGGCGCCTGTTCGAGATTGAAAAACATCCAACCGAAAAGAAGAACCTCCTCATCCTTTTATATGATAATAACTTATTCGTCGCAGAGAAAGTAAAATGTGGTACATACAGATGAATGGACAATCGGGAAAATTTTCAGCCGCTTCACTATAATCAATTTGAACAACGTCGCAGATCCAACTTTCGCATGGGTGTTTAATGTTTGGCACAGATGGTACACATCTGATGTAACGCACATTTTCTAAAAGGCTTACTACACATGAAAAATACATAAAAACTGGCAGAGTGAGAAACGGACCTCACTATTGTATTAATAGCAGATGAAATGGCGAAGTAAGTAATCTTCCTTATTTCTCGTTGGCCCTCTTCGCTTAAGGGCTGTTTTTCCAACAGCTCATCATCGATCAGGATGAAGAGATTGAAGCCCCTCATGATTCTGGAAACCTGTTCAGCGACAAGTATGACGGCAACTATCGCCACCAAGAGGTTTATTTTGGAGCTCGGGGTAGAGTGTTGGGAACACGAGAAAGTTTTCTCGACTACAACCTCAGAATTGACCTTGTTGCCGGCGTTGAATCGAATTCTCCATGACGTATGTCTGCTTTTGATCTTGTAGTAGAAAAAGCCGTTAAAGGCTATCATAAGAGAAATCGAAGCTACTGGCAGCATCAGATCGACAAAGACCTCGTATACGATGTACTGCGTAGAGAAAACAAAATCCGCAGCTCGCAACTCATAGATTGTGGTGCCATTTCTGGTGTACGCTTCGGCCACGTACATAAAGCAGTCCAGCAAATGTAAGGAACTTACTACGAAGCTCGCCGTTACGCTGATCAAGAATATGTTGAATTTGCGTCGTTCCGTCAGCGAATGGTACCACA